ATTATGACTTGATGAAACTACTGATTAAAATGATTATTGAAGATTAAATTATGAATTGAAATGAATATGTTGATGATTATGAAATGATTTGAATTGTAAGGATATCTAGAAGAACTCTAAGATATACCTAGGTTGACGTTGGTTTCTAAGACTATCTAGAAGACCTCTAAGATGGCTTAGAAATAGGCCTTGTGGGTATAATTATGAATATTCGGTGGCTTGGGTTAAAACGTACGTACGGGATCTGCAAACCAAACTAGAGGAACTCGTTTGGGGATACCACCCAACCCGACACTGAGCATTCCGCTGTTCGATTTCTGGATGACCTTAAGCGAAGGTAAGTTTAAGATTCTGAAAACCTCTTTTTAAAAATTTGTATATTAAACTAGGCCTAGCTTAAGGGTTAGTTAAGAGTACCTTAAACTCGTATATAGTTTAAATATCTTAAACTAGAATTCGTTTAAGAGTTGGTAAATATCAAATAGATTGGCCTTAGACTAAGAATAGTTTAAGGATATTGTTGAATGAGGATGTTGAATGTTGAATATGAATATTGAATGACGAATGTTGAATATTGATTATTGTATATTTGAATTGAACACTTTGTGCATGATATCAAATGATTTGATTATGAATTTGGATTCAATTTATATGGATGTTCGACACATTAGATATGATTACTCAGCTTTACCGCTGAGCTTGTAGTATGTTTTATTTGCTACATGCAGGTTAATAGAAAAAATGATGTGGCGTGATTCTGGAGGCAGACGGAGGCGAGATTGTCGAAATGGATGTGATGGTTTTGAATTAAAGAACATAAATAAATTATGTTTGTAATTATGATTTGTTAAGCTTCCGCAATATTGAAAACTCTGCACTGTATATGTTACAAAAAATATTATCGTGATAAATAAAAGTGTTTGAAAAGTTTTAAATTTTACGATTACCAAGTTAATACTTTAGTCCGAAAGGGGCTGCAGACCTGGACAGATTAGGGTGTTACAAAGCGCGGATGCGGCCTTAAATCACTTTGGTCTGAAGACCGTTTTTAAAACCATTTTGCTCTGATACCAAGTTGTAACACCCCGATTCGCATAACCCGGTTCACGCGAGTTTGCGGACTAGAGCGCTAGCAATTTGGTAAAGTAACATTCCATAACTTTTTAATAAGTAATGCTAACAGAAATTTAGAAACATTTAAAACATAATTTTATCAAAATATGATAAAATAATTTTCGGAGTAACTTAATTTTATCATTGCGGAAGCTAAATAAGATTCAACATATTTACACATATGGGTCCAAGCCCAAAATACTTTAAATTATTAAAACAGTCCCCGCATCCTTCTACCAACTCTCCCGCATCAACATCTTCCGTATGGACGCCATAGCTTATTACCTATGCACAGTCACACAACAAAGACAACTGTGTGCTCAACGAAACCGCTGAGTGGTACCACAACGTAGATTTCATAGAATAATTCATAAGGCACATTCACATATATACGAGAATCAATTCCCTTTTTAAACCCTTTTTATTTTAGAAAATCCACTCAACTTCTTTTTGTGAAACCTTTAATTATAGAAATCTAACATTCTTCATTTTATGACAAGGTGTAAGAACATCTCTTCGTATAATAATACGTATCCAAAGTACTCATTAAAAACAAGAGTATTATTTCCAAATACACTTTATTCCTCAACTGACAAACCATTATTTTTCCATCATTTCATATAGAAACAAATCCATATCTAATAATAAACCATCATCCTTAATTTTACCAATCACTATACAATAATAGTGATATCCCTTATTTTCAACCATTATTATTTTATCCTCACGCCATACTGAGTCGTTCTCCGTAGAGGTAGGCTCGATAAGACTTCCCCTGTCTGAGTCTGGGTCCAAGCGCCCTTCTCTTCAGGTTCAGAATTTGTTCCGTGGCATTTCCCAGTCTGGGTATAAATACTCTTCTGGTTCCGGACACACGGGTTGAGTGATCCCCGGCGCCTGACCGGTTCTAAGACCTTATGTACGTACATACTCAACTCCTAATATCGCCCACATCTATACACTCAAATCCATACTATTTACCACTAGAAATAATCTAGATTTAAACTAACCAAAAATACCTTTTTGGTTATTAATGTCGCCATCAAAATGATCACTTCTACGAATTTGAGTATATAAAGTTTTACCATAAAGTCTCCAACACAATATCATCCAAAATATCGCTTTTAATCACTGTAAATCATTTAATCATGTTCATGGATTGGATCATGTGAGGAACTCAAGTTTAACCCACATAATATAGTATTATAATTTTTTTAGTCTAACCCATCCAATGATATCGTTTGATTAATAACACATCTTGGAAAATATGATTTGACATACTCAATTTTGGTATTAGAGTCCTTCTAGTCCAAAACATTCATTTTAAATACTTTTGGAAGTTATAATATGTTTATGAGTCAATCAAACCAATACCAAACATTTATCATCCATTTTAAGTATTTTTGGAAGTTAAAATTTGAGTTGGAACGTCGGGTGATCGATTCTCGAAGGAGTGATCGAATCAATTCTTGGCATTAGAGTTCTTTTAGTAAAAAAACATCCATTTTTAGTGTTTTTGGAAGTTAAATTATGGTTATAAACCCATCAAACAAATACCAAAGATTTATTATCCATATGACATTGAAAAACGGTTCAAATCCGAGTTGGAACGTCGGGTGATCGATCTTCGAAGGGGTGATCGATCCCCCGACTCTTAAAAACCCGCGTTTTAGTAAAATTTACCCCAAAGGATCGATCCCCCGAACCTTAAAAACGGGTTCTGGGGCTATTTTCCATCGTGAGGTGATCGATCCAACTTCAGGGATTGATCCACTGCCGGTTCCTATGCGTTTTTGGGTTCCTTTTAAGCTACGGAATGGTTCCAAAAGTGTATATATTGATTATATACTCTACTTTGAATCTCTAAGTTGTGTAGGAATATTTTAGGCACAATTTTGGGCATTCTCCGTCATCGACGATTCATGGGTATCAAGTTGAGCGTTTTATCGAGACTATCGATATGACTAACATAAAATGACATGTAGGTATATGAAATCATGTATTATGAATAATTCTAAGGAATCTCACGTCGGAACGAGTCTGGGATACAGACCTTAGAGTTCGTAGGGGAACACAATGATCTTAACACCTCACGTACGTTCAACAAACGGACGTCACTATCTACTTCTAGCTTTCCTTTTCTTGAGGTCTTCTCTTCGAACCTTGATATCGCAGAGTTTTATGGCGTAAGGAGAGCATTAAAATGAGTATAATAACGATAGGATGGAACATAACAACTTACCTAGAGTTTTCTTCCCAAAACTCCATTAATGGTGGAAAAAGCTTAGAGAAGAAAGAGTGGAACTTGCAGGGATTTCTTAAGTCTCAAAATGTGATGAATGCAGGACACTTCTATTCCATTATATTGGGAAGTGCAGGAGAGTGGAGGTTAATGCATCACAATCACAACCACCCAATCACTTCAACCATGTCTAGCCAAATGAGAGAGGTGGAGGTGATTGTCAATGTTGGCTACCCACTAAACAAGAAGATGTGATGATGGGAAGGAGGTAATGGTGGGGAAGAGGTTAGAGAATCCTGGGAATTATTTGGGAGAGTGAATATGGGATTTGGGATTAAATCCCTGTTCTAGAAGAAATAGTTTATCTGTTTGAATTTCGGGTTATTTTCCAAACGGAGTCCGATTTCGAAACCGATAACATTTTTGAACTTGGAAAAATAAATGGAACTCAAATACGTAATAAAAATATTTTTCCTAATATTTTTATTTTTCAGGCAGTCAGGGCCCACACGGTCAAAATCGGTGGCTTACGTAGTTAATTCTTCTAGACCGGTTTTCATGGCGTTACAACTCTCTCCCTGTAACGCCCCAAAACATACCCTAGAATTATTAATGAATAAATAATCAATTAATCACAATTGTTTCAATTAAAATAAATTATTGTTGGGCTTTGGGCCGATATTAAATTTGTTTTGACATCTAATATCAAAATCTGGATAAGTCTCATAGAGATAAATCCAATATGTGGACTATTTGTGTGGTCTTGATTGGAACCTGAGTACAGACCCAAATCAAGAGTAAATAAAAAAAAATTTGTTTAGAATGTGAATATTGAAACAATTTGTTGAAATAAATCATTCAAACAAATGATATGAATTAAATGTGAGAAACCTTTTGAATAAAGATCAACTAAATCAATTTTTACTCTGTCAAAGTCAAACACCCAAAAATATGATGTCAGAAAAAGTATAACCAATAAATATAAAAATTATATCGTTGGATAGAGTTTAACTGTCCGATCGCAACGGTGCAAACGGAATTCAATTCGGAGAAAGTTGGACCAAAAAGTGTACCCCGACTGGAACCAAATTTGTCCCAATCAGGGAGTGGCATGTAAAATCCTACAAATCGCCGCTCACTCCACTCAGCCGATTACACAGGGAAAGGAAGCAACGTAAATTTGGCTCCTTCCCCATCACCATTCCTATATAAGAGAACCCAAGCTCCTTCATTTCTTCACCAAACCTCTACATTCTTTATTCTATTCTGTTCTTTGTTGAGAGAGGAGTACAGTGGTGCTATCAATTTGGTGAGAGGTCGCCGGAGCTAACCACAAACCTCGCCGGAAGTTTCGCCGGAAAATATCCAAAACCTTCGTTAAGCTTCGAGGTAAGCCCGTAGATATATCTAGTGACTAGAATGTTC